TAAACATCAGTTTGTTTTTCCTCACTTGGAAAATCTGTAAAAAAGGTTTTACACATTATATTAATGAATCAGAGTTCAGAGTTAGAATTTATGCTCAAATATTTATTTTGTTTTAGTTACTTTGATGTGTAGATTTGTGCTTTTGGATGAAAATTATTTAATGTTTGGTTAAATTAAAACTGAGCAGATTAAAGCAAACTTCTGTCGTCTCTTTCTTTGTGTTTCATCATCTCATTCATTCATTAATTCATTCATTCATTTATTCATTCATCAGTGTAAATAAGCCATGTGTAGTCATGTTCTTGGAGGTGACTGATCTCTCTCCACAGGACTGCAGGGCCTATAAAGGCCTATAAAGCTCCTTTTGTGCAATTTTAAAAATGAAACATTCACCTCAAATTAAATCATTTTATATCTTTGATATTATTTCTTATTGTTAGAAACCAGGTCGTTCTATTAACATAGTGAACTTTGTATTCGATTTGAAACAGAGCACCAGACGTCTGCCTCATACCTGCCAACACCTGCTGACATCACCTGTTCATGTTCAGCAGCAGCTGTGGACTGAAGCAGTTCTAGGGGGGTCCAGTGGTATACTCCCCCAGAAAATATAGTAAAATATTTGGTTTGAAGAGCATTTTACTAAATTCTTAATTAATAAAACAAGAAAAAAATCAGTATTTTATGAAGGTAGAAGACTTCAACCTGAACTAATACTGTATGCTGATATGTATGTGTGTGTGTGTGTGTGTGTGTGGGAAGGGGGGGGGGTCTGGTGACATTTGGGGGCAATTTGAAGACAAAAATCCTACCTTTGGGGACAACTGGTGCATTTGGGGACAAACGTGGAGTCCCCATTTGGTTTAAATGCCACTGGTGGGTTGGGTTTAGGACCAAGGTGTGAATTGAGTTTAGTTTAGTTTAGGGTCAGGTAGGTACCTGTGAGGTTAGTTTAGGGTCAGGTAGGTACCTGTGAGGTTAGTTTAGGGTCAGGTAGGTACCTGTGAGGTTAGTTTAGGGTCAGGTAGGTAGGTACCTGTGAGGTTAGTTTAGGGTCAGGTAGGTAGGTACCTGTGAGGTTAGTTTAGGGT